TTTACTTAATGTTTTATTTCTGGCAACATTTTATATATCACATAGAACTCACAGCTTATTTCTATTAGGGTTTGTTCAGGTATCAATTGTCTGAGTTCATTTATGCTCACATTTTCTTTAATCCAATAACCGCACAATCAGAAACTACTGTCATCCTTGTGGTTTGCAATGAATGAAAGAAAATTAACAATAATTTTGTGCAGTAATGTTTATGTATAACTGAACTACCAACAGCAAATGCTGTAAGCCACAGTTAATGACTTTATGTATCTACAATAGAAAATATGTATTGGAACATATAATTTATCTGCAAGATACAGAAAAGGTTTAGAAAGATTTTCAATATGAATTCTCTTTATTTACTTTCTATCACTTATTCTAATAACTTACATTCATAAAAAAAAATGATCTATTCTATGATATTCTATCAAACATGGTATTTTCACAGATTGTAGGTATAAAATATGCAAGAGTCAGACTTACACAATCTCCCATACAAAAATACATTACTAGCATCAAACCATGACCTAGGGTTGTTAAGTATATAAAAAAGAAATTGCAAAAAAATTCAAATTAACCCAGTTCTTGCAGTTGACCTCTCGTTCCATGACCCGAGAGAAACCCTGATGTTAGGTCACCTGGCTTCATGTGAATTGAGGAGTGTGTTGATGAGGCGGTTCTTAATGGGCAATCTGTGCAAGGCATCCCACATGTCACCTGGGGAAAAAATTGTCTTATTGAGAGAAAGATTAATAAATGAGAAAAAAATAGTAATAAAACACATCTTGAATTATAAGAGTATCCTTATGACTTACCCACATAAGCTGAACTTACTTACTACTTATCAAGAAAAAGAAAACTATCAAATTATTGAAATCATAAAATAACATCCATACTCCTCCACTCTCCATATACTCTTCAATACACTCACTGAGGGATCCTGAGAGACACTCTGTATGGAGAGCAACCAAAATAGTCTGCGCTAATCTGTCAAGGGAGGTGTTCACACTGTCATCATTGGAGCTGCAAGTCCTTATTCTCTCACACACAGCATCTACTACACTGGTCACCTGTTTTGGGCATAACACCTGGAAAGGAGTGTTAATGATGAGAAAATTGAAGCAGATTTTTGTTTGATAAAACTGAATGAATGAGTGTTAGATGAATACTACTCGTAAGCCTTATTTAATAGTTTGTTAAAGTGAAGAGTCATTTTCGTGTAACTACATGAATCTGGAGAAATTTAAAGTGCGGACCAGCAATAAAGTTCATGTAAACTAGCATTGTGGAAAAAAGTGTATCTGATTGCTATTTTCAAATAGACTGCTCGTTCTTAAAGTAAATCATTAATTGTACAGAAGTAACACACACAAAAAGCAGCTACAGAAAAAAGTAAGACAATTAATATGAATGATAATAATGGAGGCCTCAACATCACTTGCTGTGGGACTACAAGTCTAGGAAGTCATGAATCAGAGGAGTCCTGAAAATCATCAAGTACCACAAAAGTTGATTACACCAATGCACCTGCCTATGTGTCTCATTTTGTTAAAGTTACATTATGGGTTTTGACAGGAAATTATGAATAATCTATAGCAAAGCACAGATATACCTCATTCTATCTTTTTTTCTTTTTCATTCTCAATCAAGAAGAAAAAAGATGAGGGCACACACTTTGCACCAATTTGTGGCCTTAAAGATGTTCTAAAATGTGACCTTTTCCAGATCTTTGTTTTTTGTGAAAAATAATCATAAAATGAAACTTCACCTTTTGAAGTTTTTTGAATTGTTTGGTGTGTATATACATAAAAAAAAAATCTGATACTTTTTATATATCATCAGCATTTTCTAGAAACTCTCTTGATATTCCTGACATAAGGTTAGAATACCTGACTATCAAAAAAAATTACAAATAGAGTCAATCAGTTTGTATGCAATGACACATATAAAACAAAAATGCAAGATTTTCCTCCTAAAACTACCTGCTTCTGTGTCATGCGGGCCCTCACAGACGGTACATTCTGCAGTGTCTGTAAGATGGAGAGGTGAAGCTGTGAATACATTTCACCGCTCTCTAGCATTGGCCCCTTAAGAGGTCCTCCCCCTTTCTCAAAAGCACCATCGCCCTCAGTAAGCTTTGGTAAGCTGGCTCTTCTTCCCTGGCCTTCTGAGGCTGTCTCAGTATTTTCAAAGAATGGAGACTCAGCACACCATCTGGAAGTCAGGAATGTTATCAAATTAGAATTTTAAGGTACAAAAGTATATGAATGCTTTCAACTGTGGCTACTACTACACTATAGCCTTTAAACCTAAACTTTAAACTTTGATACTTCAGCAATGGTCTTATACATAACACAATTTTTTTACCAATATAATAAATATTCCCATAAATAGCTGTGGTTCAGTGCACTATGCAATGATTAAACAGCTAATTCAACAGATTAAACAATGATCCATAGAAGTTTATATACTACCATCTACAGTCATATGCATTTCTCTAATCACAGTTAATACAGTAACTGCAGCAGGAACTGATACCTTGTTACACCATTAACAAGAAAACCATACATTAGGAGACTCTAAACACCAGCCCTGCATACATTTATTTGAGCTGACAGTTTGAATATTCAGCAGCCAATCAGCATGAGGAAGTCTCACTGTTAGGTCTACCACAGTATAATTACGCCAAGAAACTGTGCTGAGGCCAGTATGGCCATTGCCTTACCTGTTTGGTCACAAATTTCCAGTAGTTCAGTAAATAAGCCTTTTCCCTATCACTAATAATTTACAATCCATCATAGCTGCCTTTGTGAAGTAGCTTTAGGATATTAAGGGAGGGCTTGGAAAATCTCTGGAGTCAAATTGGAGGGTCATAGCAGACATGTTTTCTCTTTCACAATTTAGAAAGCAATGATCCCCACTGGCCTGCAGCCATTTTATAAAAGCCATCTTTTGTTGCCAGATACAACTAAAACAAAATTTCCCAGGACTTTCATGATTTCACAAGACACACTTTGAAATGTACTATATACAAGCAGACTGTATAAGGGCTTACTCAAACTGCAGCACCTGATCTGGGTAAAGATACTGCACTGTACCATACTCAGTACAACAGTTTGAAAAAAAAGCATTCTTTTATGTAATATTGCTAATGAGTCATTGTAACCAGAGACTAGAAAACACACAACCTAATAAAAGAGAAGCTATATCAAGTCCTCATATCATCAAAAGATACACAGAAATAACCACATTAAAAAGGCAACACTTTAAATACTACAGCTGATAACATGAGCAACTTATATAACAGGAAATGGATCGCATATCTGCTTCCTTCATAAATAATAGTTCATTATCAAATACTTGTTGTATATCCTTCTATAAACCTAAATATACCAAAGAAAACTTAATTCTTACTTCATCAGAGGAACAATTGGTGGCACAGCAGTCATGGGCAGAGACACCCCTGGGAGAGGATGGGTGAGAGGTGCTAGTGCCAGGTGAGGGGGAGACCCTGGGGCACCCTGCATCCACCACACAACTGTCGAGACGAGGGCATCTGGCGGGCGTTCACAGGGTTCGCCACTACCTAAAGAAACAAGCAAATGTTGCTCATCCAAAAACAAATATATTGCAGAGAAACACTAATCCTCTTACTGATATGGTTAACTTTCACCATCATTATCATTACCATCACAAGAGCCATCATCAGCATCAGCATCAATATCACCATCACCATCACCATCACCATCAACATTTCTATCATCACAATCATTATCATTACAATTATCACCATTATAACCATCATCATATTTATGACAAACTTACCAACTTTAGCATACAGCTGCGACAATGTTGTGATAAGGTTTGCTGTGAAGAGTGGAGCCATAGTAGGCAACGCCCTCAAGGCAGCAGCAAAGTGTGGGGGCGCAGTTGGTGTCAGCTGGAAGTAGTCCTGTACTAGGCCTCGACAAACCTCTCCGCTCCAAGCACTCAAACAACATACTTGCTGTTATACCAGGAAAAAAAATTACTTGTTACACCATCTATCAAAAGGACAAGTTACTTAGTGACTAGAGTCATGTATTGCTTAGGATCCACATTAGATACATAGCAAAGATCTAGGGAAAAAACACTAGAAAGAAAATAAAATATAATGATAATGCTGTAAATTCTGAGACTCAAGACTGAAAGCTGCCTACAACTCAAAGTAATTTGCAAATTCTAAAATCTAAGCCTGGTCCTCAGTAATAACTATTTTAGTGTATGGCATTTTGTACAAATGGGGTATGCTTATTTCACTTTTGTTCAGCTATGTTTATTTGAATATTAGCTGTCTACATAAAAAAAGAAAATGGATGAACATTTTTTTATATCCCTTTTGCAAGAGATGTCTATTCTGTGAATAAATCTGATTAAAGTTTATAAAATCTTTATATCCATTGTCTGAATCAGTTAAATGACCCTAAACACCACCTTGACATTATTCCAGTGAGTGCAATTATCCAGACATGCACTAGCCAATGGTATATATGTAAGGAAATGTATCTCTACACTCCTGGCACCAAAATCACTCTGTTTACAAGAGACATAAAATACAGGCCCCGCATCAAAGAAGCTGTAGCATTTGCTACGTCTGGTTGGATCTACCGTCTCATTTTCTGAAAGTTTATCAAATAAACTAGAAAAAATAAATCCTGACATAATCTGAATGGTAAAAAAAGGTAATAAAAAGGAAATTTCCAAACCTGCATCCAGACGGCCGTTGCCTCTAGTACCGAAACATTGTGTGTTACAATGGCAAGCGACACAAGTGCAGACAGTATGCGTAGTTTGTGTGGCATACGTGGGTCATGTGAAGAGGGATGAAAGAGGGTGATGAAGAGGGTATTCCTTGCTGCCGCGTCCACCATCTTCCCAAGGTGCTGACCCAGTTCTCGAACAACCACAAGCTCTTCTACTGGCCCCACAGCCTGCAAGGAAGGTTCAGAAGATATTATATACTGTAATACAAAAAATATTACACACTCCATTGCAAAATGGGTATATAAAAATAATGAAGATGATTTATGAAAATGAATATAAGATGTTGATAATGATAACTGATCAAAATATAATCTAAATCAAAATAAAAGTAACTACAATAGTGATAACATTAGTAGTAGTAATAAAAATAACAATAACAATAACAATAACAATAACAATAACAATAACAATAACAATAACAATAACAATAATAATAATAATAATAATAATAATAATAATAATAATAATAATAATAATAATAATAATAATAATAATAATAATAATAATAATAAAATAATAATAACAATAATAAACAATAAAATAACAATAATAACAATTATAACAATAACATTATAACAATAATAACAATAATAACAATAATAACAATAACAATAATAACAATAAAATAATAATAATATAATTATTATTATTATATCATTATATTATTATCATTATTATCATTATTATTATAATAATAATAATAATAATAATAATAATAATAATTCATTCATAATGATATTAATTCATTCATATTGTCTTTGACCATCCATGTGTTCAAGGCATAGTAAAATCATATTAAAGTAATCATAGCATATTTCCCACTCAGAACTTACCCTGATTTTGGATGAATTAAAGTCTCGACAGCAAAATATGTAGTGATCCATGATGTGCTGCTGAACGTCGTGTAGGATGCTGACTTGAGGCATCTGGAGCACCTCCTCTGTAATGTATAACACTTTGTTTCAATAATTATCTTTCTACAAAATCTACTCTACCTTTACTTGACTCTATTCAAAGATACCAATGCATTCTGTATAAATACACACTTTCAATTACTTCTTTAAATCATATTAAAAATATATATATACAATTTTTCAACAACCAAAAGTAGAAGGTTTATCTCAATCTTACAACTGATGGTACAGATTATGTGAACAGTTCAGGTATTTTCTATTTTTGTGTGCCTTCAATCTTTAACTTATTATAGTATATACACAGGTTATATAAGAATGTAAGATAAATGTAAGTCGTAGCAACTCATACCTCCTTAAATAAAAAATGTAACCACAACACAACAAATAATGCAGCACATAATATATAGTACAATATAATATGCTGAAATTTTTAATATGTATGAATTATCTAATTGCATCTAAATTTCAAACTTTTGGTATTCAAATACATTACTGTGATGAATTCAACTTGATATGTGAATATATTCTAGAATATGTTTATCTAGGAATCATTTAAAGTACTCGTTATTCCCCCTAAACATTTACATTGTCAGTATCGTACACCACGAAATCTAAGAACTATAAAAAATCATCAAGAAACATATAAGAAAAATTCATAAAAATATTTTATCCCATGACTAACAGCCAACACAAAATAAACATCCAAGACAACATACTCAATTTATATCTAAAGTAGCTGACTTTTATGCTTTATAAAGTGCAGATTTCTGAAAACATCCTCCAACTTACCCAGTTTTAAGAGTCCAAGCCGCACACATGATGGGAAGTCGCTCCGCTTCAACTCAGTCAAATCCACCGACATTGTCAATGCATTTCAATCTGCTGGGGAAGGAGAAACATCATTAGGAGAAAAAATTAAAGGAAGCAATTTTGAACTCTTCCTACTATGGGGTGTTTACCTCATTCATGACAATAAACATGCTTAAATTGTGTGATTCAGCCTCTTGTATATCTAACTATCAAAGATGGTAAATATTACTTTTCCTTGCAACCAAATTACAAGAAACCTTAGTATTTTTCATATCACGGCATTCTTCATCTTTTAGTACTAAGTTCCGATTCTCTCACAAGACGGTGGAGCACCCTGCACAAAACTTTTTTTCATTATTTTCCATTTACTTCTCAATGTCTCTTGTGTACTACCATACTTAATCTACATTATGTATTATACAAGAAAAAAAAGGGCAAAGCAAAATTAGAACACGTAAAACTCCTTGTACATATCACTAAAAAACACAATTATATACTATTTAATTGTATCGCTTTTACCTGCTTTTCAAATTCTGGAGTAAAAAACTTCCTTGACAGTATATTTCCTGAGAATTTTCTTACACCTAGGACCATTTCTAAGCATTTTTCACACTTAAGAGATAAAGGATTTTTTTCTAGAATTTTTATAGATACAATCCTAGGGCCTCTATATTTTTTTCTATGTCTGGCAGACCAACAAACATTCACCACATACAAAATAAAGCTAGGACTGGTATTATATGACAAAAAAAAAATGAAAACTACCCACGAAATCAATACATTATACCTTGCTAGAATATATATGGTTGAGGTTCTTTAGCATTTATGAGAGAGTAAAGGATAGATGTCTTTCCCATCAAAGAATTTATAATGGAGAAATAAGATTTTAGATTTCAGTGCACCTGTAGCTTTAAATTAACATTCAGCAGATTAGCTTTTCCATGCTTAAGAACATTTTTTTACTTTGTATGAG